TGCAAACCACGACAAGGGTATAAGTATTAATCAATTCAAGGCTAACCAGAAGAATTCGATGGTTCGATGTTGAAAGGATCGACCCCAGTGATCAGATTCGCCAGGATCAGATCCCCAATAGTTCTTCCTCCTAATAACTGTATAACTTCTTCATCAGACCAATGTTTATCGATACAAAGCTGAAGAGATATTGGGGCTGAAGGGCACATATCAAACCTGATTCAAGAAAAGCAAAATAAATGCAAGGTCAAACGCAGCCAGAATAAATGGTAAAGCTTCCTTCTCTCAAAAAACATAGTACAAGAGAAAAACAAATAAGCATCGCAAGTTCAGAAAAGACCACTGATCTTGAAATTGAAATTCTTGTAAAATCACATCTTCCGTTGTATAAATTATATCAAACACTACCAAAAACACAAAAAAGACTGTAACTTTCCCCATTAAACTTTGGGGTTAAGCTCAATTAACATGAAAAAATGTGACTTTTGGTCCGAAAAGAAAGGTAACACCGAAGTAAAGCAAAGAAAACGACTAAAAAGTCTCGATTCGATTCAAGAACCCGTTTCACGAATATACGCAAAGCTCAAATCAACAATCTCCAGCAATCACACAGAAAGATCCCAAAGAGACTAAAAGATAAAGAATTAGCAACAAATCAAGTGGGGGCATCGAGCACCATAGGATCGATTCGAAAACGACACGGGGGATTCCCTTCCCCTGTTTGATCAAATCATCATCAGCGTAACAGAAGAACGAGCAATTGATTACGATCCTAAACTCGTTTACCTCTACTGAAGCAGCTGATGGAGTCGGTGAGTAGAAGCAAAATCGACGACGAGAGCAAGGACAGACGGTAACGGGAACCCAGATCGGGAATCGGCGGCCATCTTTTATAGTGAGACGAAGTGACCGGAAGAAGCTTGGCTATCTTAACCAGGGTTTAGCAGCCCACAATTAGCAAGCTCAGACATGCACTCCCGCCATTACCGGAGCGTTGACGCCGTACATTAGCCGCTTGTTTTGTTTCTTGTAACTGTTGCGTAAAACAAAAACGTTTCTGGATTTTGTTTTCGGTGACTTTTAATGAAAAATAAGGTATAGTTAGTTGGACTTTCAAGGCAACTCGAGGTCCCACTTGAGCATCGTTTAGCCACGGGTATTCCTACCCGTTCGACCCATCAGCCTCATCAGTGGGACCAGTCATGAGACAGGCAGGTATATGGTGAGCAGTAATTTTTTGCGGTGAGTTTGCAATCGGATAATGCCGCGTCCGATTATTTGTGATTAACGGCGCTTCTCGGCCGTTAGACGAGCGTTTAAGCCAACTCTTTGCCCGTCCTCACTCGCCCGCGTCTACCCACCGTAGCGATTGTCCGATATGGGAACACGTGGCATGAGGCGGATAACCGGGACCACATCCACGTAGACATCCACTTGTACAATCTGAGCTTTTTGTCTGCCACCGTAAAAAAAACAGAAAAAGAGTCCAGAAAACCCTGTATCGACCGAGTCACGATACACGGAATTCACCATCCACCGGTCGACAACTGTGCGGCTCGTGGCTGTCGCCCCACGAAAATAATTTCTCATTGGTGACTGAAGGAGCTCCTGTGAGGTCCACTAAGACTTTCCACCTCGCATAAATTGATTTACGCGTACCAAAAAGAAAAAGAAAACGAACCCGACACACCTTGTCTCGACCGAGCCAGGGTTCAGAGAACTGGCTATCCACTGATCGACAGCTGCGTCTCGTGGCCGTCAACCCATGAAGGATTCTTCTAATTGGTGAACACTAGTTTTCATGTGATATTTTAATTGTATTAGATATTTAAAATTTATAATTGATCGACGGTAGCTTTCTTCGCATTAATTACCTATTCATGGACAAGACAAAAATGCCGTCAATGGAGTCAGAAAGAATGCAGCCTCACACTGCCATACTTTTCCTCCGCCATGCATTGTAAAGGAGATCGTACCATAATATAGCCAAGAAGACTTGTTCCAAGTGCTTTTGCATCAAGCATTGTATGATGGAAGCCATACATCATTTGCGCAGGATATACACATGAGAGAGAAGAAACCTGGTGATGTTGCTGCAAGGGGAGGAACTAATGCAACCTGATAAGTATGGTGTTCCTGATCTGTGTCAGTTATCTCTATCAAAGAGAGAAGGAAAAGATACCAGTGGTGGATGCGAATATTAGCAGACCAGGAAATAATCTTGATGGAATTTAGTTTGCTTTTAGAGCAGTGTTAGATTGAAATGGTGGTTTTCTGCACAAACTCATCAAGCAAATTGCAAATTAGATGATGATTGTTCGTTTAGATGATTGCATCTCTTCTTATACATTCTCTTTTGACCCAAACCTGGGTCTCTAAATTATGCCCTCACCTTGTTTTTGAAGCGCTGTAGCATAACATTTCATTTTTGTAGCCTGTATTCTGCTTTCAGCTATGTGTTCACTAATTCTCAACCAAGAGATCATCTCTTGCTATGCTGTCACTGTTTCAGACATTTGAGCCTTTTCCACAAGAAAGAAACACAAGCTTTGGTTCTTCTGAGTTCCCAAGAAAAACTGCACATGGAATATTCTAAATACATACATGCCTGCCATATGTATGCTAGGAAGGATTACAAATTAATTCTTATCTTTAGTTGCCATCTTCTGATTCCTCATGCAGTTTTTGCTTTACCTCTCTAATGATCCAATATCTCTGCAGTGGCTGGTTCCCTACAAAACCCTGTCAAGTATTTTAGGTCATACAAGAACTGTCTGTGGACTAATGCTGTGATGAGTACTCTTTGATTCAGCTCTCACAGCTGGGCTAATAAGTATGAGAAGCAAACTAAGCTGGCTACTCATATCTTCTTTTTTTTCTTTTCTTCTTCTTCTTCGCTCTAATGGTTTCCATTTTCCTTATATCAGTACACTATTTCATCTAGGATTACTGTTGTCATTTGTGTTGTACAGACCACAAGGAAAAAGGCTGTGAGTAGCAGATTTTACCTTGATCTAGAGATAGTGTTTGTTGTCTCTCATCTGTGTAAAATTATCTCATCTTAGTGCATCGTTTTAATTGTGTTAGAAGTTGCTCAGATTGGGAAAACATTATCCCACCAGTCCTGCACAATTAGAATAATGATTCTTGGGATTACAATTTGCTCACAGTGTGGACATCTGAGATCATCACTGTGGCACATGATGTGTGTGTGTGTGTGTGTGTGTGAGAGAGAGAGAGAGAGAGAGAGAGAGTTTAGTTTTGATATCTTGACAATTAATGAATGATGTAGTTATTTTACTTTGTCTGTTCTGAAATTTAGATAGCACCAAGTATTTGGTCATGGCTGACATCATATAGAGGCATGATGTATAAGCAACCCTGATCAACTGGCAAATGCTGGCTAATGTTGAAGCATAGCTATTTTTTTTAGATTAATTCATTGACTAGAAAAAGCCATGACCAGAAAAAGAAAAAAATAGGTTAAGAATACAATCATATTAGACTGAAATATATTCCAATCTATTTAATTCGACAGAAGAATCTATGACCGGATTAGTCTTCCGACAACAACAACAACAACAACAACAAACCGTCTCGAGTACTCGAGCTTTGTTAGTGTGCATTCAATAATTTCTTTTTCTTTTTTAGTGTGACTGGAAACAAACATAAATGAAAAGAGAACTGTGTCAAGGTTTGCTGCTGTAAGAATAAGAACATGTGATGGTTTGACCATGAGAGATAGATAGGCTTAGAAGTGCTCAATTTCCACAAAAGCATGGGATGGACCACCATGGCCATTAATTGAGAGAAGAGGTAAAAGAAGAAGAAGATAGGTGATGTGATCCATTTTAACACCACATGCATCCTTGGATGTTGCCAATTATTTCTGTCTAATTGCTTGAGCTTGACTTACTGGTCAATTGTTTTGTGCCTGTTTGCTGAAAACAAACTAAGCTGAGCTGATACTATTCTCTGAAACCCTCAATCTAGTTCATATCCTTTAGGTATTGGAAGAAACTTTATCAGGGATTTCTTCTTTAGACCAAACAGATTCTCCTATTTTTGATCATCTGAAATCCATATTAAATGAGTGGATGTTTCAGCTCCTATATCTGCTTGAATTTTCAAACACCTCCACCAATGGCAAAATCAATGGAATTTAGTGTCCTGGAATCAGTCATTTCTTGTTATAATCTTGGGTGATTATGATTTCAGATATTGGCTTACACCAACCAAAAACACTGCTCAGGCCATATCATTCATCTAATTATCAGTGACAGGCATTAGCTTACACACAACCTTCAATTTCTACTGCATTTCTGATTTCCCTATTTAATATTTTATGTTATATGAATGAAAATTGATGGATCACAAATAATTTAAATATTAATATTTATTGTTATTATGTGGATAAGGACTTTGAATGGCCTCCACCAGTTTCTACTGCTTGATCCTTTTCAACATTAGCAAAGAGCCCACTCGGCAGGACAAAATCTAGTGGTAGATACTGTTTCCACTCCTTAGCCTCTGTTCTATATCCTGTTCTCTTTCTCCTTGCAAGTACAGGGAAAACAGTTCAACTAAAGACCATTGGACTGAGACTAATCTCCTCCGTCTAATCATAAACAAACAAAACCCAGTTTTCTTGGAGGACAATGTTAAAGCTCAGCAAATCACCGAGCAGATTCTGTGGGCAGCTGATGAACTCCAAAGAAATCTGCAAACCAACAGAGAACAGAGCTCAGGTTTTGAGCTTCTCTGGGCAACAATAAACAAACAACCTCTGTTAATGGCGTCAGAGGCATTGACCAAGGTGTTACAACTCGGGTAAAAACTACGCTCTCAAAAGAATAGAGAGAGGTGTGTTAGGGGCGAGGGTTGTGAGGAGTCTGAGAGAGGTGGGGGGCTTCTCTCGCTGTCATCGAAGAGAATCTGTCCAATCTCATCGCAATAAAATAGAGCCGTACTCTCCTCGTGAGCGATCTCAGACTCTCTGCCCAAAAGCAGCAGCGAGAGAGAGAGAGAGAGAGAGAGAGAGAGAGAGGAGAAAACAACAGTGTAGGAGGAAAAACTGGCAAAGTAGAAGGGAAAAAACACATTTTTGCTTCGGTCCTGCCTTCGCCTCACACCAAGGGCACCTTCCTCTGCCATTGGGAGGGAAAAGGAAGGTCTTCGAGGGGTGGAAGGGTGGGGGGAGGGGCAGGAAGAGAGGGTAAAGGAGGAAAAGGTTGGGTTTTTGGAGGAGGAGTTGCGAGCGGAGGGGAGAAGGGAGGGATGACGTCTGGAGGCGGGCGGCTGCCAACGTGGAAGGAGAGGGAGAACAACAAGCGGCGGGAGCGGCGGCGGAGGGCGATCGCCGCCAAGATCTTCTCCGGGCTACGGGCGCTCGGAAACTACAAGCTGCCCAAGCACTGCGACAACAACGAGGTCCTCAAGGCTCTCTGCCGCGAGGCTGGTTGGATCGTCGAAGACGACGGCACCACCTACCGAAAGGTCTCTCTCTCTCTCTCCTCCTCCTCCTCCTCCTCCTCCTCCTCCTCCCGTTTCTTTTCTGCGATCTGCTGGATATTAAGATATTACCAGTGGTTGTGAAGCTCGGAAATTAGCAGAAATCACACGGGTGGCCTTTTGCAGACGGAAATCTGCATCTCATCATTCCAAAACGAGACCTCGTCAAGAGATCAAAATTTGTTGGTGGGAATAAACCCAAAAATTTGATCTTGACGAGGCTCTTTTGGAATGACCCTATGATTTGATCTCCTTATCGCAGATCCTTTTTCATCGGCAGCTAATTTGCGGTTCCTTGTTTTTTCTTGTTTAGCTTTTATTCATGTTTATTCTCTTTCAAAATAGATCTTCCTTTTTGGCTCTGTGTGGGTGAATGTTTAACTACTTTGGGATGGAGATATTGATTTATTAGTGACTTAGTAGGTGTTGATCTATAATTAATACATATTTTTTCCTGCTTTCCGGGATCTTTTTATTTGATTCCCATGGAATTTTGACTCATCGTCCTCCTTTCTCCACGCAGTTTCTTATGATCATTTGATGTCTCTACTACTAGTTTTGATTGCATCAGATCTTGTACTACATTATGTTTTGAATCTAGCTGCTCAACTGGTGTTTTAACCTCTTCCTGGCTGCAATCTTTCTCATTTATTTGTGCAAGTACTGACTATAGCTATAAAAAAAATTCTACTTTGACATCCCTTTTTTCTTTTGACCAGATCACTTTAGAGGTAGTCTTCTCTGGATTCTCTCATTCAACCCAAGATGATGGTGTTCTTTTTCTGATTGCATTCTTGAACTTTGTGTCCTAGTCTTCTCCCTTTTGTTGCTTTCCCCTTGTTCACTCTAATGATCAGCCCTCCATCTTGCTTTGGAAGTGAGCCTTGAGAGTCGAGAACACAGAAAGGCATCATCCAAACTGATGAAAGAATTGTGAAACAGAAAGAAAGCAAAAGCATATAAAGTAAAGACTTGGGAATAAGAGATGAAGGAAAAGCCTTTCATTACTTTCAGTAGATCAAGTGTTGTGCTCAATTTTCTTCTCCCAATTCTTTGTAGCCTTTCAGAAACACAAAGACAAAAGCATGTCAAGCTGAAAAGACATAGTCAGAGTTGATTGAAGATGTATGGAATTAAAAGAAAGGATAAGTATTTCATTACTTTTACTAGATCAAATCTTCATCAAGTCTTGCACCTGAGTAGGAGTGTTCTAAGCAGCATACATTACTCACTCTCAATTATATGTAGTCCTCTGAAGTTCATATTTTAACACTTTCGCTATTTTTCAAAGCTTCGCCGACACTTGCATTTGGTCAGTAGTACTCTAAGCATCACTGCTTTTATCCTCTCTCAATTCTTCATAATCCTCTGATGCTCATCTGTTCAACAGGGATGCAAGCCACCCCCTCCACCTCCAGAGGTTGCCACAGGAGGCCCGTCGACAAACATAAGCCCTTGCTCTTCTTCACACCTCCTCAGTCCACTATCCTCTTCGTTCCCGAGTCCCGTTCATTCCTACCATGCAAGCCCATCCTCATCCTCATTCCCAAGCCCGAGTCGTCTTGACAACTCTAACAATCCCAGTGTGAACCCCTCTTGTCTTCTTCCCTTCCTTCGCAACCTATCCACCCTCCCACCTCTTCGAATATCCAACAGTGCACCTGTCACCCCGCCCCTTTCCTCACCGACTGCCTCCCGCCCACCTAAGATTAGGAAGCCAGACTGGGACTACAGTGCATTCCCCCAGTCTCTGTTTGCTGCGTCCGCCCCTGCTAGCCCTACCCGGGGCCGCTATCATGGGCTTCCTGCTGCTATACCTGAATGTGATGAATCTGATGCCTCCACTGTTGGATCTGGGCGGTGGATCAACTTCCAGATGACAGCCCCGGCATCCCCAACCTACAACCTTGTCAATCCAGGAGCAGTTCCGTCAACGAACATAGCAAGTTCTCCAGGCGGAGAGGTGTTGGAGAGGGGGAGAGGAGGCATGGAGTTTGAATTCGAGAGTGGTAGGGTGAAACCTTGGGAGGGGGAGAGGATTCATGACGTCGCGGTGGATGATCTTGATCTCACATTGGGGGTGGGAAGCACGGCATCAAAGTGAAAGATCTCGAGTATGTTTTGCAAAAATGCTTTTTTGCTTAGTTCTAATTTCATCTCAATGCACTGAAGGTTACATCTGCCAAGTTATTGATGTTTAGTTTGCTTCCAAGGTTTGCCCGAATGATTCTCTTGGCACAAGATCTTATTGTTTTGGCTTCTTGTAAGACCATGATGCATGGATACAGATTCCATCTTTCATGACTTCTAAGGCATGGTGGTGATCTGTGGCAATTGCTAATGAGAAATCTTTTGGACTTTAGTTGTATATGTTGTTGCTGAACCTTGCAAGTTTTAGGAAGATATCAGAAAATGCTACTCACTGATGCAACTTCCCATCTTTTTTCTCTTTTCATTAAATTTAGCAGTTCCTGAAAGAAACTGAGCTATCCAATTCTCCTCCTTTAGTGGGTAAAGCTTCGGTTGCAAATGTTCTCATGCAAACTGTTGTCACTTCAATTTTTATCAATTACCTCAACTGATGCTAAGTATACTTATTGAGTTTTGGTCAATCCTGTAGCTTTTTACTGATACCTGCATAATAGTTGCTGCACAAGCCTGTGACTCTTTTCTTTCAGATGAAAGAAAACCCTATACAATGATCGAAACTGGACATATTTCAAGACACTCAGAATTGTGGTTCTTGTGAGTCAATACTTAAATTCCTTGTGGGTGGGAACAAAGTGCTGGGGGTTCACAGCCTATTGATTGCTGAATGCTTATCCAATTGTGACACTGCACAAGCTTTATCTTTGTGTGGGGAAGGGTCAAAGTGCAGCAACAAAAGCTTGAAGGGCCCCTCTCCATGTGATGTGTATGTGTAGGGTGTGATGTTGCTGCTGACCAAACATGGCAAAAGTCTGCTTCCCCAGAATTATAGCTGGGCCCACTGAAAGAGCCCTATCAACTGAAAAGAGTCCATGGATCAAACAGATGATGTAAGAACAAAGTGCAACATACCAATCAAAATCTTACCATGGTCTTACAGGATCAGTGGTAAAAGCTATAGCAACAAAAACAGGGCATGATACAGGGTTTTCTGTTCCAATAACTTAAGAGATGCTTCATAAATCAATGATAAATGATGCTCAAGAGTTTCATTGATCTCATATGACATTTTAACATCCACAAGAAAGTTTATGGAGGTTCTGATTAGAGTTGGTATATGAACTTCATGTTACCCTAACCAAACACTTAATTTGCAATTGTCAAATAGAGACAGTGTAATTGGTCAGAAATGGCATGTTAATTAAAGCATTTCAACCTTCCATCAGATAGATGAAATGCCAAACAAGCTACAAAGAGCATAAAATGAGTTCCATCTTTCATGAAAGATAATATCAGCAGGCTCTAAGAACATTGGTTCAGCAACAGATGCTCCATCTGAACTCTAGAGTTCTTCATAGATGCACTCCATGCTTCATGACTAAGCAACATAAACAAGGCAGTGAGTTTGTGTATTATTTCCATTGGCAGAGTTTGGTTCTTAAATTATGAAGACTGCTACTAAAGTTTCTAGGTATCATTTAGCCAACTGAAAGTTACTGCTTGAGCAAGAAGGATTCACACACACAGAATGGTATACCAAGGAGAGCCATGAGCAGCTTAACTACCAAGGATGATGGGTTCAGTTTGCTTTTTCAGCCATTCAAGTATAGAGCTAAAAGTTCTCTGCAATCCAAGTGATAGCAACTTAACCATTCAATATCATCAGGAGTTGGCAATGTCAAATCCATCAGTTTCTTTTGGTGAGTTGCCTGTACAGTGAGAGGATAAGGGAAATCCTGACTTCTTTGAGGGAGAAAAGGCAGATGGAAAATTATTGTACTGTCAACTTAGTGGTAGCTAAATGGGAAGGTTAGTAATTCAAAGCTAAATGTATTGAAAGTCAATTTCTCATCTTTGTGACAGAGAAATCAGGGTGGCCACTGTTGCCATGAAGGCTTATGAGGTTTTGGATGAGAGAGTAACAATAGGCTGATACTAACTAGGCTAGTTACTGTGATCTTCCAAGGAAGAACTTACCAAAGAAGAAATAATGAGTTCACTCTGAAGAAATGCTGATGGTGAATCCTCAATGAAACAGAGGAATGAACAGATGCTGCATTTAAAATAAGAGCTCCAGTTAAGTGGTAAATCTTGAATTCTGCTACAGTCAGAACTAATGACTGTGAGAAGATTGTTATGGAATTAAATGCAGCAGATGAGCTTGAAACCAAGTAGAAATGCAGTAGGTTGGTGTTCAATGCACTGCTTCATATTTGCTGGTAGCTGAAGTGTTTTGATGATCTGCATGGTGCAGCAAGGGAGGAAGCAATTAGTTTCATTTAATGATCAGTACCGGCTACGAACTCTGCTTGTTTTCTTGGGGCACATCCATCTAAATTTTTCCTTAAAATGTTGATCTATGACAACCAACTGAATCTGTCTGTCAATCAAGAACATAATGTATGAACAGGAATACAGGTTCAATGTTCAATTTGTGTGTAGACCATATCAGCAGAAGAATTCAGATTCAATGATAAGCTTCAAGTTTTGGCCTCATAATTCGTTTCGTTTGGCTTTCAGCTACTTATAAGACAAACCTGTACAATTCTACCAATGAATCATTGCAGTGTATTCCTGGCTGAGAACAGTAGAAAACTGTATGCTGCGCTAGAAGTATAATGATATGATTTCTACCATTTCTCATTTATTTTACCCTATCCTTTGCTTTCTATCACATTAAGTAGCCAAACAGTTGCTGCAACATTGTTCTTTAAATTCTCTGCTCCAAGAACTTTGAAGTTCGGAAACAATTATCATGGATTTATTGATCTTCTGAGAATTGCATCAACTGATGTTGTCAGGCATTGCCACCAAAACCATCAACAGCATCATGAAGAAGTAATAAACTCATGCCTTCTATGCTCTTTCCACAGACATATGCAGAAAAACTGGTGCTTCATACAGCTAATTGTTCAACCACTGTGCATATGTTTCATGTCTTGGATTTTCTGTTCACAATCTAATTTGTTGTTTCATTTATCAAAAAAAATTAGAAGATCAATGTAGAGAAGGATCATTTTGACTTGTAATCAGTCAGTTGAGCAGCTGCAGAGCAAGTTATGACTGACTTGTACTCTCAACTTGTTTTCTCTCTCTGTCTCTCTGTCTCTATTATAGTTCTCTTGAGATCAACTTGTAAAAGCACTAATGATCAATCTTTAGTTCCTACCATGTTTTTTCTCTTGCTTTTCGCTTGTTGATCAACATGCTTATTAACTCTTCGCTCATGTCCACATCTGTGACCAAGCCATGCCTACTTGGACTGATAAGTTCTCAGCTGCTTCCCTTGAGAACATGGCTGTGAGAAAAAGTTGCCACTGCTTGCCATAATAAGAAGCACTTCATGGAGATGTGTACCAGGGACCAAGATCGATGACATCATTCTCCTCCTAGAAATGGAATGGCAGGACCGAGAGCCATGAATTTGGAAGAACAAGATGCAATTGATGAGCTCTGACCCAAATGTAGTAATTGTGTGAGAGGAAGATGAGTTCCACATAATTGTCTCTGCATGCATTGAAGGCACCCATGTCCTCTATATAAACATCTGCATCAAACCAACCTATTCAGAAGCAACTTGGGAAGACAAGCTTTGCGTTGTCGATTCCTATCGAATTATAAGCACACAAGAATCTGCAACCCACTAATGCGCTGCTGCTTAAAATGATTACAACAGAACCTCAAGAATTGATTGATTGCAGATGGACTAGATCTATCTCAGGCAGTTTGCGCCTGCTAGATCATCTGTATCAGTATGAAGGCTGATTCCTATAAGCAAATGCATGGAGAAATCATATCTGGTTGGACATGGTCATCGATCAAATCTCATCTTTGCTAGTACCTATCTATCATCACACTGGTTGAATGCACACATGTGATTGGGTCATTTTCAGTTCATTCATTGACTCATGAGATCAGATTCTACATCGAGAACAAGGAGCCTCGGTTTGTTCACTTTGATTACCGTAGAAATACCTTACAGGTGCAGGTCGTAACAGTAAGATATAACATCAAACACTAAATGGGTTCATGCCCCATTGAACACACACACACACACACACACACAGCGAGAGAGAGGGAACTCAATTTATTGTTGCAGTTGGTACTGGTGAGTCGTAGAAGAAGCCTCAACACGCCATATTTATTCCTTTTCTAATGCCTTGCCAAATCTCTCTCTCTCTCTCTCTCTCTCTCTCTCTCTCTCGATATATACATATATATATATATATAAATAAAACAGTGTGCGTACGTGTGATGCATTGTTTGTTTGCTGATGAGAATTGGAGTCGAGCATGCTCATGAATGCTCACCAACAAGAAGCAGATCATAACTTCGTGGGAGTTAATGGTGCATGTGAGATCTTAAGACATCGGAAAACGATGTTCCTTTGGACTAGTTGGAGACTGAAAGTGCAGCAATCTACGTTCTTGCTTGCTTCCACCCTCCGACATTAATGTCATGCTTGCTTCACAGGTGAGTGTTGTAGGATAACCCCTAGTCCTGCTGCCAATTCCCATGGGTAATGTATCTAAGAAACAGCTTTTTAGGAAGGAAATGCAGCTGTGTTGTGCGTGGATTGTGGAGTGATGATTGAGGTGGTGCTTAGGTCGGAGAGATGCTCTGGCAATACAAGGAGAAATGAAGTCGGGGGAGATAGATTTTGGTGGCATGAAGAGTCAGGTCATTTAGGGAGATGGTTTTAATGGTGAGATTGTAGGCATTTAAGGCACTCTACTTGTCAACTTTAAATGCTGCGTCTGCCCTCCTCTTAATAAGGTTGGATGAAGGCCATTTAATAACCCCCTTTAGTGGCCACTCCCTGCATGATCTAGTCGAACAAAAGCTGTGGGGAGCTCCCCATTTCTGCTCATTCCCTCCACATTCTCCACCTCTTCCTCTTCCTTCTCAACTTCTGATCTCGCTCTGCTTCCTACAGTGTTCTCAGAATCGATTTGGCTCAATGGGAGAAGAGAAGCAGAGCAAGGGGCAAGTCCTGACGATGATGGATCAAACAGAGCTATCGTTGGGTCCATCTTCGTCGACCTTGAGCAAGAAGACACAGAGTTCCTCTTCGGAATCGGAAGGATGTGGCCGGAGGAAGAGGAAGCAGATCTGGGATGCGAACCCCAGGCAAACTAGCATCGAGCTCCAGCTCAATGATCCCTTGCCGCTTGATTGGGAACGCTGCCTTGACCTACAGGTGGACCTCCTCTCTCTCTCTCTCTCTCTCTCTCTCTCTCT